ACAATCAGGTTTATATTGGGTCACAAAATGCACTCTAGGTCTCCAACAGTGACAGTTTCTGCCTGTATGATGGCTAAGAGCTAAGAGCATCTCTCATGGATTTGGCCTGCTAAAATCAGCAGTAAGAAGGCACTGGAAGTCAGCAGCTGGAAGCCCCAGGGTCAAATGCAGCCCCCTTCAGTATCTTGAGCTGTCTCATCCCAAATGCAGCTTAAGGATACTTTGGTGCCTTATGCTCCACCTCAACCACTGAGATCCACTTATGCAGCACTTTGGGTGGTTCCCTATGCCACTGAAATTTGGTTGACCTTCACTAGGGACCAAGCCCAGCTGTCAGGCACCTGGGAACTGGGCAGCAGAAGCCTGCTTTCTTTTGCCAATGCACAATCTGCACTTTAAGGCTTCCAGTTGCACATAGGAATCTGTTGCTCCACCTGCCTCATACCTGATGTCACATAAAGTATGGGGCAAGCGGGCGTGTTTTGGGGAAGGAAATTACAGACAATATTTGAACCCCTGGTGGGCACAGGGTTCCCCACCCCTCTTCTAAAGGGAAACAGAAAAGAGGAGAGCACTCAATAGTAATATGCTGGGGAAACAAGATGAGAAGTCCTAAAGCTACAAAAAGAAGACAGTGATGAAGAAAAATCAAAAGATGCACAGGTTTCAATCTTGCACATTCTTTAGAGAAACTCTAAATACCATTGCCATAATGTTCCTGTTTGCCTACTAATAAATGAGAATATGAGAGTTTGTCCTCTCTCTCTCTCGGCTTTGCAGGTTAACTTTCCCAGTCTAGAGAATGGAAAGCTACGAGTATGCCAATGAAGAACAAATGCTGTTCCTTCCAGGAGTCAAAACATACAATTTTCCTGAGAATGTGGAAGCTCAAAGTGTATATGTATTTGAGTCCCCTCACACAAACAATATTCTTTTCTTTGCTGAACCAAAGGCAAAGATGGTGGGCTGCTATATTATTGGATGCCACTTTATTTTCCAGGACAATAGTGTTGGGTGTAGTGAAGGGTTAACCTTCTGTGTCTCGAGGCTGAGAGGAGGCGCTTACAAGGGAAGTAAGCCAGGACGTGACGAAAGCAGCTTGGAATGCTGTGAGCTGAGTGAAAAGTGAAAGCAGCTTTTGCTACGCAGCTGCTGAGAGAGACAGGTCGCAAAATGCAACTGGAATCAGATGGTGTATATGAACTGTAAATATGCTATTTTTGAGCAAATAAAGTGCTACTAGAAAAGAAGAAACGTGTGGGACCTATTTACTGACTGCCCTTTCTACACGGACGCTGTGCAATTCTGCTAATTGTTTTACGACCTGCAGAGCCACAGGGGAGCGTGCCGGACACCAAGAGTAAAGCAATAAATCTTACCTAACATGGTTATGGGTCAACGTGAAGCGTGTGAGGAAGGGCTTTGAAGTTTTATCTGCTGATCGTCAGCTTGATCGACTGCCGGAGACTTCAAAGAGGCAGATCGGAGGAGGCTGACGACTGGGAGCCAAGAGCCATGACGTCCGGAGTTTCCAGTTTGGCTGAGTGAGTACCTTTGGGAAAAGCCAACAGAAGGGGGCAATGGCTCAGCCCTGTGAACATGGCTTTGAGCTTAAGCTGCCATGTCAGAAACTGACTTGCCAAAATTGGCTGCAGTGGAGCTTTCAAGTGGAGCTTTTGCTGGTGGGGGAGCAGCTGTGGAATGTAATTCACCCCACACAGAATGCAGCTGGGAAAGCAGAGGCTAAAAGGGCTGCAGAGCAAAGTGAAGTTCAGAAGCGTGTGCTTGCTTTTTTGGCAGAAAGTGTGGATGCTCATCTGGTGCCTGTTGTCCTGGGTGCAAGAAGGCCAGAGGCCGCTTGGCTAGCACTCCAAGAAGCTTGTGAAGCTGGAGTGGGAAGCAAGGGCCAAGAAGTGGCTGCATCTGAAAGGGAGAGGCAAGATGGCGCCGGCCACCGATTCACAGCTGGGCGGAGCTGTGAGCCCCCACAGGGGGGCGAAGGGACTGTTGCTGTTGCTGCTGTTGTTGCTAGCAATGCTGCTTGTGCTTTTGCTGAGCCTGGGAGCTGTGTGGATGCTGCAACGTGTCTGTGTGAGAAGCCTGGACAGAGGCCAAGTGTTGGGAGCCCTTTACCCTTCAGAGGGGGTGCAGAAAAACGTCCTGGAGACCCCATGAGCAGTGGGGGGGCAGTGAGCAGTGAAAGCTCAGAGACGCCTCTTTCTCCAAAAGCTGCCAAGAGTTGTTTACGTCGTGAGTCGGAGCCTGGGAAGCTGAAAAGAGCTAGAGGCTTCAAGGTCAGCCACCTGCAGCAAGTAGAGATAAGCGCTTCAGAGTTGTGTGGGAACGCCGAGACAAGTCCAGTCTCCATGGCAACTGAGAGAGTTGCATCTACGGAAGCTGTCAAGGTCGTGGGCAAGTCTTCCTGCCGGGGAGTCTGTTGCCGTGACAACCAGAGAGGACATCTGCAGAAGCCCCAAGGAGGGGGGTAGTGAGGAGATTGTTGCCCTGGCGACCCAGGAATGTAAACAACAAGACTTTCTCACTGTAATAATAGACTCTGGTGCCTCAAATTCGTTAGTGCCATCTGCTGATCTTTTGAGGAATTGCAGGACAGTAAAAACTGAGAAATATGTTACGTTTGCAGGTGGAAGCAGAAAAAAGCTGACAGAAACAGGACTGTTCTGCTGTCCTTTCCTTAAGCATGAAGTCAAAGCTTATGCAGTGCCCGGTTTAACTAACTGTTTGTTAAGTGTGCATGATCTATTGATTGATAATTTTCAAGTTTCTTTTGCAGGTGACAAATGTGAATTTTCCAAGGATGGGAAACACGTGTACACAGTGCAGTCTAAAGATAATTTGTTTGCTGTAAATGTGCCTTTTTCCACAGGAGAGGATGACACCGAAGATGCGAAGGGCCAATGTGTGAATGTAGCGCCCACAATGGTTGTTTACATATTTGGCACAGGCGCTTCGCTCATTTAAATTGGAAATTTCTCCAGAAAGCACCAGAGCTGACACAAGGGTGCAAATTTAATGTTTGTGACAAATTTCTAGATTGCAATGCATGTAAACAGGCGAAAGTTGTGACATGCTCATATCCAAAGTCAGAGAGGCAGACCACGCAACCCTTTGAATTAATTCATGCAGATTTGTGTGGACCCATGTCTGTTGAGTCACTGGGAGGTTCGAAGTATTCTTTGCTTTTGATTGATGATTTTTCGAGGTCTGCTTGGACCTTCTCTCTGAAAACGAAAGGGGAGCGGCTAAAATGATCAGGGATTGGATCACCGCAGTTGAGGTAACCTTTTCCACCAAAGTTCGTGGTTTTCAAAGTGACAGAGGTGCTGAATTCACTGGTTCTGCTTTACAGGATTTCTTTAGGGAGAAGGGGATTAGCCACAGACTGACCGCTCCTTACTCTCCGCAACAGAATGGGGTCGCAGAGAGAAAGAACAGGACGGGGGAGGGGGCTGTGTGTGCGAGCCGGTGGGGCGCAGGGCTACCCCAGAAATTTTGGTCTCAGGCCTGGCACTATGTGGTCCATACGCAGAACAGAGTGTACAACTCTAGTGTAGGAAATACACCGTATTTCTTACTTCATGGAGATAAGCCCAAGGTACACTACCTTCGTGTGTTTGGTTGTGAGGCTTGGGTGCTTATTCCAAAGGCTCTACGCAAGAAAGGTGAGCCAAGATCTAAAAGGATGATCTTTGTAGGGTATGAGCCTGGCTCAAAGGCCTGGAGGTTTGCGTACCCAAGTGGAGACCAGTCTAGGTTGGTTATCAGCAATAGCGCTGAGTTCTGTGAGCAAGCTGGTTGGAAACGTCTGCACGCCAATCCAGACGTGCTTCCACAGCAGTTCTATGACTCAGATGTTGAGGAGGAAGAGGAACTTGGAGCTGGGGACCACGGTCCAGAGCAACAGAGTCCAAGGCAGGGACAGCTCAGGATCCCTCAGAGGGGGGAACCTAGAACACCTCCTCAGGCAAGTGTCAAGTTTGAGCCAAAGAGTGAGCCTTCTTCACCTGCTGGACCAGCGGTCAGGCCCCAGAGGCGCAGCTGGTCAGAGGGGAAGACACTGAGTTGAGGATGATTTAGCTGGACCCAGTGAAGCGGCAGGGTCACCAGGAGTCACACTGAGGAGATCAGCGAGGACAAGGAGGCCTCCTGATCGGTACGGCGCTTCAGGCGTCTGGGTAGGTTCTGCAAGATGTGAACCTGAATCCTTCGAGGATATTCAGAGTTTACCTGAGGAAGAAGCAGGCAAGTGGCACAGGGCAATGGACAAAGAGATGAAGTCCATGAAAGATCTAGGTGTGTTCTCACTCACAGAGTTGCCACCAGGCAAGCAGGCTGTGAGTTCCAGATGGGTTTACCGCTTGAAACCCACTGATGCTGGAGAGCCGCAGTATAAAGCCAGGTTAGTTGCTTGAGGATTTACTCAGAGGAAGGGAATACACTTCACGGAGGTGTATTCGCCAACGTCACGGCGGAGACTCTGAGAACGCTTTTAGCTTGTGCAGCACAGAGAGGCTGGAAGGTAAACCACTTTGATGTGGATGTTGCCTACCTTAACTCAGATCTCCAGGAGGAGCTGTACATGATTCCTCCTCCGGGGTTTGAGAACTCAAGGCAGGATGTTGTGTGGAGATTGCACAAATCCATCTATGGATTACGTCAATCTGCTAGAAACTGGAACATGTGCCTGAATGAAGCCTTAGAAGAGCTAGGTTTCAGGAGAAGTGTTGCTGATAGTTGCTTTTATTTGAGAGGTTCAGGAGACAACACAAGAGTATCTGCTGATTTGGGTTGATGACGTGCTTTTCTTCTCAGAAACAGATGAACAGGCGGAGAAGTTTGCCAAAGAGCTAGGTAAACGATTCAAGCTTAAACAGCTTGGTGCTGTCAAAACCTATCTAGGTGTCAATGTTGAGCGTGCACAGGATGGAAGTTTTTGCTCAGCCAGAGAGGTAAAATTGAGCAATTGCTTCAGAAAATGAGGATGAGTGATTGTGCAGGAGTGAGAAGTCCTATGGAGACTAGTTTTGTGAAGGACAGCCAGCAAGTAGAACGCGCTGCGTTCGAAAATACTGAAGTGTTTCAGTCAGCTCTAGGGAGTTTGTTGTACTTGTCCCAGTGGAGCAGACCTGATATAGCGTTTGCTGTCAATCTGCTCAGCAGGGAGGCATCAAACCCTAGTGTGCAAGCCTGGAATGGCATCAAGAGAGTTCTGAGGTATTTGCAGGAGACCAAAGACTTTTGTCTTAGGTTGCCAGCACAAGGAGAAGTCAAACTGACTTGCTTTGTGGACTCGGATTGGGCTAATCTTGAGGATCGCAAGTCTGTGTCTGGCCTAGTGGTGAAGTTTGGGAACTCAGTAGTTGGATGGAGGTCCAAGAAGCAAAGTCTGATAGTGCTCTCATCCACTGAGGCTGAGTTTAGTGCTCTTTCAGAGATGTGCAGAGAAGTAGAGTTCTATGCTTGTTTGGTGCAGGAACTCTGCGAAGTGGATTGTCTGCCGATACGTGTTTTCGAGGACAATCAACCATGCCTGCGTTTGGCAGAGTCAGGTCAGTTCAAGGCCAGAACGAAACACCTAGACATTCGCTTTCGGAATGTGTGCCAGAGTGTTCAGGAGGGATTAGTTGCGCTGAAGTACTGTCCCTCTGCCAAGAACCTAGCTGATGGGTTCACGAAACCACTCACCTTCCAAAGACATGGGGAGTTTTGTGAAGGTCTGGGTTTGGGACGACCAAGGGTCGATTCTCCCCTCAGGCGCGAGACAAGAGGGGGTGTTGGGTGTAGTGAAGGGTTAACCTTCTGTGTCTCGAGGCTGAGAGGAGGCGCTTACAAGGGAAGTAAGCCAGGACGTGACGAAAGCAGCTTGGAATGCTGTGAGCTGAGTGAAAAGTGAAAGCAGCTTTGCTACGCAGCTGCTGAGAGAGACAGGTCGCAAAATGCAACTGGAATCAGATGGTGTATATGAACTGTAAACATGCTATTTTTGAGCAAATAAAGTGCTACTAGGAAAGAAGAAACGTGTGGGACCTATTTACTGACTGCCCTTTCTACACGGACGCTGTGCAATTCTGCTAATTGCTTTACGACCTGCAGAGCCACAGGGGAGCGTGCCGGACACCAAGAGTAAAGCAATAAATCTTACCTAACAAATAGTACAGTATATTTTACTCGCTGAATGTTTGCCCAGAGTGAGTACTTGGGATCTGTAAAAAAAAAGGGGGGGTGCCAAATAGCAAGGAAGGTTTTACTGTTTCAGAATACACGAACTCAGGCCTGGTCAAGGCATTACATACCACACACCACCAGTGGCGTAGCGTGGGGGGTGCAGGGGGGGCCGGCCGCACCGGGCGCAACATCTGGGGGGGGCGCGCTCGCACTCACAGCTCTCTGCCCCTACCTGGCTCACTCACTCTCTCTCACTGCAGTGCTGGCTGTGCGAATCCGATCCGAGCCGCTGGGTCGCCGCCCACTGTGGAGGGGGTGGGTGCCAGGCGTGCGGTGCGGAGAGAGGCGAGGGACTATCTGGGGGAGGGACAGTGCAGCGGCCGCCCAGCGCAGCGCTGAGTGCGGGAGAGAACCACACCAGACCAGACCAGGCAGCAGCAAGAAGAAGCTGGCAGCGGCGGCAGGTTAGGGGTTAGGGGGCGCAAATTACTTGCCTTGCCCCGGGTGCTGACAACCCACGCTACGCCGCTGCACACCCCAAAAGCGATGTATCACTGAAGTGTGGAATTTCTCAAAGTTTTGTAAAAATACACCACCATTAACCCTCTCCCTGTGAAAGCACGGGGAATGGTGGTTGTTTTTAAACCACAGATTGATTTACATACTGTAGGGCTGCCAGTTTAAAGAAGAATTTGCAGCTTAGTGGTAGATCATCTGCTTGGCATGCAAAAGGAAATAGGTTCAATCCTGACATATCCAGTTAGAGCTTGGAGAGATCCCAGTTTTAAATCTTTTGAGAGCCATTGCCAGTCAATGTAGACTGCTGAGCTAGATAGACCAAAGATCTGACTCTGTGTAAGGCAGCTTCCAGCGTTCCTGTTTAATTCAGCCTCTGTATTCAGAACCATGAGAAGTAGAATCTTGGTTTATTTTTAAACAAAATGTAGCAACAGAGCACATGCTTTGCACACAGAAGATCATAGATTCAATCCCTGGTATCTCATGGTATGGCTAGGAAAGAACCCCGTCCGAAACCCTGGAGAGCTAATGACAGTCAGTGCAGACAATACTGAACTAGATGGACTTACGGTTTGACACATTATAAAAGCAGCTTCCTACGTATGTTGTCATGTGTCAGATAAGTTGGTTCTACAGGGCCAGATATAACAATCTGGATACCCTTCTCACAATTGATGAAGACTATCATGGGTGAAAACTATCTGGGACAGTTCCAGGGTAGAGAGAGCCCAGGCAAAGTACCCAATGGTGGACCCCTCCTGCCTGAGCCACAGGTCAGCAACATCTGGAGGGCCAAAGGTTCCCCACACCTGGTATACACCTTAGACTGAATTCTAATCTACAGTCAGCAGAACAAGTAAAAATATATATTTCATAATCTTTTTAAAAAATTCAATAGTATTTTAAAATAACCAGGTTTGATTTTTGCAAAACATGTTAAAAGTATATACTTGCAACATCTAAAAACTGAATCACGTATGACTCTAAGGTCCACCAAATTCCTTCATTGCCTCACTGACAATTTCATTTCCCAAAAGGTGGAAGAACCAACAAGGGGTCATTTATCTTGGACCTGGTCCTCACCAACAGAGAGGAACTGATCGATGAAGTGGAAGTACTCAGAAACTTGGGAGGAAGTGATCATGTCCTCCTGGGTTTCATGATACAGAGGCAAGGAAAAACAGAGTGTAGTCAGACATGCACTCTGGACTTTAGGAAGGTCAATTTCAAAAGGCTTAAGGAGCCACTGAGTGAAATCCCATGGTCAGAAATACTCGATGAATAGGGAATCCAAGATGGATGGGATTTTTGTGAGGAAAACCTGAGCTTACAGGGTTAAACAGCTCAGAGTGTACGCTCTGCGTACTGTGGAAAGGAGGGGGGAAATGCTGCGTCATTTCCGAGAGGCTAAAGCCTTTGTTCTGTCTCTCTACTTTCGCTTTTGAGGAGAGAGGACGTGTTTTCACGATGCTGTTCGCTGTGATAGATAATGGATAGCCTGCTGTAAATAAAACTGCTTTTAGCTGCTAAGATCCTGTGTGGACTTTATTTAAGCACACTGAAGAAGGCACTGGAGTTTTTTTGGTTTCCTCTTACCGCTGTTGAAACTCTGCTATGCTCAGATGAGTCGGACTCTTGGAATGCAGAGACTCTTGGGGGAAGCGTGCCGGACCTCACGCTTATCTGAGCAATAAATCAAGATATCTCAGAGGTTATGGGGGCAGTAATTGCAATTAGAGGAAGCCTGCCTTTGATGTGCTGTGTGCTTAAGAAGGCTGAAAACTGAGAAGCTGTTGTTTTGCTGCCAGAATGCAAAAGTCCTGCTTTGAGGCTTCGCCTGGGAGAAAGCAGGAAAGCTGGATGCAAAGCTGTGTGCTGCAAGGAGCCACTGGAGGCCTCTCCTTTGAAGCTGGCTGGTACGCGTGAGTACTCAAAGCCCCAATGGGAGCACTGTGGGAGGAGATGGCTGAGCTCCAGGACTTTTATGATGTCCCGTTTGAAAAGCTCACAACCCAGTCCTGGGATATCTGGGTTAGAAGAGTCAGGGGGTGGTTTTTGGCCACAGGGTTCTGGAGTATAGCCCAGAAGGAGCCGGCCCCACCCACGCCAGTTGCTGCTGAAGAAGGAGGAGCAGAACTGGAGGCTGCACTCCTGGAAGATAGAGAGCTGAGAATGCAAAGGGAGCTCTGCATGTTGAGAGCAAGCGTGGACGCTATGCTGTTGCCCCACCTGGAGGGCATTGAGTTGGCTCAGGCCGCCTGGCAGGTGCTGAGGAGTCTGTGTGAGAACTCAGCAGGAGCCCAGGGCCGGGAGAAAGCCGAGAGCAGGCAGAAAGCTGAGAGCCCAGAGGGGGCTGCTGGCCATGTTCCTAAAGTTACAGCTGGGAGTAGCTGCTCTGTCTCCGAGGGGCCGTGTGATGTTGAGGCCTACAACCAGAGTGCTGGGGAGCGTGCAGGCCCAGGCTGTGCACCCAAAGGTGGGGGTGCTGGGAACAAAGGAATGGCTGAAGAGGGAGCTGTGAGAGCTGTTGCTACGCGTCGCCGCTGTTATCGCTGTGGCTCCCCTCCCATCTGGTGAGAGAATGTCCAGTGGAGGAACAGCCCAAGGCCGTCTCCCGTAGCAACCAGATAAAGAGCTCTTCTTCAAAGCGTGGGAAAGGCAAGCCGAAGGCAGCTGGCAGAGACACTGAACGTAAACATTTGGCTGCCTCTATGGCTGTAGTTAAGAGGTGTCAACAGGATGCAGAGCTGGCTTTTGTGATAGACTCAGGAGCCTCTCATCATCTTGTGCCATCTGGTGGATTCCTGGAGAACTGCACCTCTGTAAAATCTGGGAAGACTGTCTGTTTAGCAGATGGGACTCGACACCCACTCACGCAGAGTGGCTCACTGTTTTGTTCTTTCTTGCAGGACTCAATCCAGGCTTTTGTTGTTCCAGGACTGTCCTGCGCGTTGCTGTCTGTCAGTGCACTTCTTGCTGAGAACTACAGAGTGTGTTTTGAGAACAATAAGTGTTCTATTTCCAAGAATGGACAGCACCTAGTCAGTGTTGAATGTAAAGACAGGTTGTTTGTGATAAATGCTTCTGTTGCAGGTCCAGATGACACGGATGACGCGGAGGAGGCTCAAGCGCAGTGTGCCAATGTTCCAGTTCATGATGCGTGTCAACATCTCTGGCACAGACGTATGGCACACGTGTCGTGGGGGTCGGTGAGAAGGATCCCAGAGTATACGCAAGGGTGCAAAATGAAATCATGTGCTAAGTTTCTAGATTGCAGAGCGTGCAAGTCCGCAAAGGTGAAAACGTGCACATACCCTAGGTCTGAGAGGGTGACCACTAGGGCTTTTCAATTAATTCATGCAGATTTGTGTGGACCGTTTTCTGTGAGCAGTTTGGGCGGAGCCAAATATTCGCTGGTTCTGATTGATGACCATACGAGGAATTCTTGGTGTTTTTGCTTCGGCGCAAAAGATGAAGCTGCGCCGCTAATCAAAGACTGGATTGCGGCTGTGGAACTGCAGTTTTCCACACGGGTGCAAAACTTTCAGAGCGATCGCGGTGGGGAGTTCACCGGGTCTGCACTGCAAAGTTTCTTCCGCAAAAAGGGTATTCAACTCAGGTTGACTTCTCACCACAGTCCCCAACATAATGGGTTCGCGGAACGCAGGAATAGGACTCTAGGGGAGATGTCCGCAGCTCTTTTGTTTGATGCCGGGCTCCCTCAGCGCTTTTGGGGGGAGGCTTGGCGAACGGCCAACTTTGTTCTGAACAGGTCGTTCAATTCAGTAGTAGGTGACACACCGTACTTCTTGCTTCATGGCGAGAAACCGAAAGTGCACTACTTCCGCGTTTTTGGCTGTGAGGCTTGGGTCCCCATACCAAAGGCCAAACGCAAGAAAGGTGAACCCAAGTCCCAAAAGATGATTTTTTGTGGGTATGAGCCAGGGACCAAGGGGTGGAGGTTTGCTTATCCGTCAGGGAATCAGTCCAGGATTCTGCTCAGCAACAGTGCTGAATTCTGTGAGCAGAGTGGCTGGGCAAGGATACACGGAAACCCTGACATCCTGTCAGAGAGTCTGCTAGACTCTGCTGATGAAGGTGAGGAAGAGGTTGAACCTGCTACTGAGGCTCAGAGTCCAGGCCCAGTGCAGGCAGAGGGGAGAACTTCTCCCAAGGCTGTGAAGAGTGAGCAACGCAGTGCTCCATCTTCCCCCACAGGTTCGGCTGAGAAGTCCAGAAGGCGCAGTAAGTCAGAGGGGAGCTCTCTGATGCCAAGGACGTTCTGGCTGGCCCTAGTGGGTCAGAGGGGTTCCTGAAGTAGTGCTGCGCCGTTCAACACGGACGACCAAGGGGAAACCTCCTGAAAGGT